TACCCTCTGCCCCCTCCGCGTCCTCTCGGCCCCTTTCCCCGGCCCCATCCCTACTCCCCCGCCCTCCCCTGCCCCCGCCGTTTCCTCCCTCTCATTGCCTGACTTCTGCCTTCCTCACCTCCCTCCCTTCAGCGCTTCGCCCACCCTCCGCCCGCCCTCTCCCCAAGTTCCTTCCTACTTCGTGAGCCTTCCTCTCCTCCCCATGCCGAAGGAAGCAGTCTGGGTGACAGGGCGCCTTGTTATGAGAGGGAAAGTTTGGAAGCCACCAGCGTGGGGTGGGAGCGATGGTGAGGTTGGGGAGGATACTTGCAGGTTTGAGGGGTGTCCGGATATACTCTTGGAGGAGCTCATTTAAAGCTGGTGGGACAGGAGGTTCTGGATCCCTTGCCTTAGACTTGAAGGAAAATCAGGAGCTTCTCAGAATCCTGGGAGAAGACAGAGCTGTGATTCTAACCTCTCCAGACCCAAATGAACTAGATCAGTGATTGTCTGATGGAGCGGGCATGGGGGGAGTTCTGCTGGTACCACCCCAGCAGGCAGTTGGGCAATTGCCTGGTGACCTGTGGACGGTCTGTTTTTATATGATCTTCCTGGGCCAGACACTCTGGGACACTTCCTAATGGCCTGGGATTATGGGAGTTTGCCCACACTTCTGGGTGAAGTCTTCTGTCCCTAATGGGACAAAGGAGCCTTGCCCTCTGGATGTCTAGGAGTTGGCTATGATTCTTTGGAACCTGGTTGTGGAGGTTCTGACTGTCTGGTCCTTAGGGCCTGGGCTTGGAAGGGATGGTTGTGGACTCCACATGCGGGTTCCTTATACACACTTCCCTCAGTTCTGAAGAACCTTCCCTCTGAGAGCATGGGGGCTGTGCTGCTCTCCTGAGTTGGGCACTCCTGACAGCCCCCCTCTTATTTGTGTTGCAGGTGTGGGCTAAGCTGGTGGCCGGCTTTAGACTGGACCCCACAATGTTTGCAGAGATGTTCAGGTAGCCGTGGTAGTATGGCAGATGATTCCTCCTCGTTCTCCCTCCCAGATCTCTGAGGGGCTCTGGTTGCTGCTCTGGGACGGTCCTTAGGTTCTCTTGGGTCTCCCCACTCCCTTTGCCTTCCTGGAGAACTCCCTCAGGTACCCAGCCCAGTTTAATCCTCCCAGTGCCCACGTGGATGTCTGTATTATCAGGCACGCGGGAGCTGATTACACACAATGAATGGGGGCAATGAGAGCAGTGGAGCAGACAGAGCTGGGGGCCCTGTGGCCACATCTGTCCCCATCGGCTGGCAGCGCTGTGTGCGAGAGGGTGCCGTGCTCTATATCAGGTATGGATCTTCAGAGTTCCCCACGTTCTGTCACCCAGCTACTCTACCATTGCCTGGGTTTTCTCTCTCTCTCCCCTCTCCCAAAGCCTAGATTGTTGGTATCCCCTCAGTCTCCTCTGCTCCTGTTCCCCTTCCCTCCTCAGCCTTCTTGCTGTCAGTGTCTCTAGGCCTTTGAATCCATTCTCTTTTCTGTCTCTTCTCACATCCCTTATGCTGTGCCCTTCCCAGAAAGGTCTTCAATTTAGGAATTGTGCTTTAGAAGCATCACCTCATTCACCATCTGCTAATCCCATATCCTCTGACCCTGTCCTTTCCCAGCCCAAGTGGCACAGAGCTGTCTTCCTTGGAGCAAACCCGGAGCTACCTCCTCAGCGATGGGACCTGCAAGTGTGGCCTGGAGTGTCCACTCAATGTTCCCAAGGTCAGAGTGGTGAAGGGTGCCAAAAGAGTATAGGGACAAGCTAAAGACTTAATGCAAAGTACTGACCATGTAGCCCCTCTCACAGATTGCACCCTTTTGGGGTCCCTGCCCATGCCTTCTACCTTACAGGTTTTCAACTTTGACCCTTTGGCCCCGGTGACCCCGGGTGGGGCTGGGGTGGGGCCAGCATCAGAGGAGGACATGACCAAGCTGTGCAACCACCGGCGGAAAGCTGTTGCCATGGCAACTCTGTACCGCAGCATGGAGACCACCTGCTCACACTCTTCTCCTGGTGAGTTTTCTGCCTCTTTACAGCAGACTGAGGAAAACCTAAGGGCCTGGAAGAGGATCGTGGGAGGAGTTCTGTGAGAGAGAGCAATGGGATTGAATGGTGGAGTGGGGTGGGGAGCTGTTTGCTTTGAGGAGGGGACTGGGGGTGGGAACTTGTGGGAGATGGGACTAGAGAAGACAAAGGAAAGTTCTGGAAGGGGAGCCACAGGCTGACCCTTTATTTCTCATTTATTGCAGGAGAGGGAGCGAGCCCCCAAATGTTCCACACTGTGTCCCCAGGGCCCCCCTCTGCCCGCCCTCCCTGTCGAATTCCTCCTACAACTCCACTTAATGGGGGTCCTGGCTCCCTTCCTCCAGAACCACCCTCAGTTCCCCAGGCCTTCCCACCTCTAGCAGGCCCTGGGGGTCTCTTCCCACCACCAAGGCTTCCTGACCCTGTTCCCTCTGGGGGCAGTAGCAGCCCCTGTTTCCTCCCAAGGGGTAATGCCCCTTCTCCAGCTCCACCTCCTCCACCTGCTATCAGCCTCAATGCCCCCTCATACAACTGGGGAGCTGCCCTTCGATCCAGCCTGGTGCCCTCTGATCTGGGCTCTCCTCCGGCCCCTCATGCCTCCTCCTCACCACCTTCAGACCCTCCTCTTTTCCACTGTAGTGATGCCTTAACACCTTCTCCACTGCCCCCAAGCAATAATCTCCCTGGTCCACCCGGCCCCCCTGGTCCTTCCACTCAGCCACCAGTGTCTTCAGCCACTATGCACCTGCCCCTGGTCCTGGGACCCTTGGGAGGGGCCCCCACAGTGGAGGGACCTGGGGCACCCCCCTTCCTTGCTAGCAGCCTACTTTCTGCAGCGGCCAAGGCACAGCATCCCCCGCTACCCCCTCCCAGCACTTTACAGGGCCGAAGGCCCCGTGCCCAGGCACCCTCAGCTTCCCACTCATCACCCCGTCCCTCTCAGCGTCGTCCCCGCCGACCCCCAACTGTATTGCGATTGCTTGAAGGGGGAGGTCCTCAAACCCCTAGACGGAGCCGTCCTAGAGCCCCTGCTCCTGCCCCCCAGCCCTTTACTCTCCCAGAGCCATCCCAACCAATTCTTCCTTCTGTGCTGTCCCTGCTGGGACTCCCCACCCCTGGCCCTTCCCACTCTGATGGAAGCTTTAACCTTTTGGGGACAGACGCACACCTTCCTCCTCCCCCTACCCTCTCCTCAGGGAGCCCTCCCCAGCCCAGGCACCCCATGCAGCCCTCCCTGCCTGGGACCACCAGTGGCAGCCTCAGCAGTGTGCCAGGTATGTGAGTGTGGTGGAGTCTTCTTTACCCTGGGTGGTGAGAGGCAGCCAAAATACTTAGGAGAAAGTTGAGAGCTCTTTGGTGGTTTTCTGGGTTGGAGGCAGGGAGTTTGGGTTTTCTGGACACTGGGAGAAGGGCATCCCTTGAGCTAAATCTCTTTCTTCTTTTACAGGTGCCCCTGCCCCACCAGCTGCCTCCAAAGCCCCCATAGTCCCCAGCCCTGTGCTTCAAAGCCCATCAGAAGGGCTGGGGATGGGGGCGGGCCCAGCCTGCCCTCTCCCTCCCCTGGCTGGTGGGGAGGCTTTCCCTTTCCCCAGCCCGGAGCAGGGCCTGGCGCTGAGTGGAGCTGGCTTCCCAGGGATGCTGGGGGCCTTGCCTCTCCCTCTGAGTCTCGGCCAACCTCCACCTTCTCCATTGCTCAGCCACAGTTTATTTGGTGTGCTGGCAGGGGGAGGAGGACAGCCTCCCCCTGAGCCCCTGCTGCCCCCACCAGGGGGACCTGGCCCTCCCCTAGCCCCGGGCGAGCCTGAAGGACCTTCACTTTTGGTGGCTTCCTTGCTCCCACCACCCCCGTCAGACCTTCTTCCACCTCCTTCTGCACCTCCTAGCAACCTCCTTGCCTCTTTCTTACCCCTGTTGGCCCTGGGCCCCACAGCTGGGGATGGGGAGGGATCTGCGGAGGGAGCTGGGGGTCCAAGTGGGGAGCCATTTTCAGGTTACTTTCAGCCCCCCCCACCCTCATAGCTTTAAATTCTGCGCTGCTGGCTGCCAGCCTGGATCCCCCTTCGGGGACACCCCCCCAGGTGAGGATGGGGGTGAGTAGGTTTGACAGAACAAGAGGTAAACTCAGATGGGAGCTGGGAATCAGAGGTTTCAGTTTCATGCCTGAACTCTTACTCGGGGCCTTTGGGAGGGCTTAGTTCTTGGCTGGGGAAGGATGGCTACAAGAACCGGGTCTGGGGACCAGCAGTTGGCGTCATGGCTATGTCGCTGAACTCCCATGTAGTCGACCACGGTTTGAGTCCTCGACCCGGTGGCTTAAACTCACACCGGGCACGTGTGCATGTGTGCCCAAGATCCCGAGAGGAGAGTGGAGGAGAAAGGGTTGTGGTGTGGCCATCCCCCCTGGGGGGTGATTTCTCGCTTTCTTTCTGTGTCTGTCTCTGTCTTTCTGGCGAGCACATGCGCCTTAGAGTGAAAACCTCTCCAAAAAAAAAAAGAACTGGGTCTGTGTTTAATAAGCATGGCCCACCTCATTTGAGGTTTGAGTCAGACCATGTATGTTGTGAAAGTACTATAAATCTAATGATTATCTTAGACATGGAATTGTTCTCAATCCTCTCAGCCCTGTGTCCTGAGTGCCCCCCAGCCTGGACCACCTACCTCCAGTGTCACCACGGCAACTACTGACCCGGGGGCCTCCTCTCTGGGCAAGGCCCCCTCCAACTCAGGGAGACCCCCTCAACTCCTTAGCCCTCTGCTGAGTGCCAGCCTGCTGGGTAAGTCTGAGGGAAGACCCTTGGTGTGAAAGCGCAGCAGTAAAAATTGAGAGTAGAGGTTAGAGTTGGGGGTTAAGTCTTTGGTCACTAGATGAAACCTAAAGAGGATAGTAGGGTCTGCTCAGCTTAATTGGTTTGCTTAGGGTGAGCCCGTTAGCTTTATCATTTCTCAACAGGTGACCTGTCTTCGCTGACCAGCAGCCCTGGAACCCTCCCCAGCCTGTTGCAACCTCCTGGCCCTCTTCTCTCTGGCCAGTTGGGGCTGCAGCTCCTCCCTGGGGGGGGAGCTCCTCCACCCCTCTCAGAGGCTTCTAGTCCCCTAGCCTGTCTGCTACAGAGTCTCCAGGTGAGGCTGTGGGTGTGTATTTGTCAGAGAGAGACTTTTTTTCCAAACTGGCAGTTGAAAGTTGAGTTACAGTAGCAGAAGGACTGTCTGAAAGTGACAGAGGTTTTTTGTTTTTTTGTTTTTTTTTTTCCAACAGATCCCTCCAGAGCAGCCAG